TACTGACATTATCACCTTGCTTGGTGGTGAAATGGTTAAAATAAAATAAAGTCCATCAAAAAATAATATATCAAAGTTAGATAACCAAAGGTTACTTACTTTTAATTAAACTGGAAGTAATCTAAAAATAATTTCTCTTAAAACCCATATATCTTCTTCAAGCTATTATAGCTCTCCACAACCTCCTATTCTTTAATATCTGTTAATTGTAAATTCCCATGACTATTCTTGGGAAAGGTAGTGCAGCAGTTTCCTATTGCTTTCTTTACAATTTTTGAATTCAGAAATGACATTCTAAATCAGTTTAAGACAAGAAATAACCACCTTTCAATTTCAAATTCCTCAAAGTTGATTATAAGCATTTTCAACCAGGTTTATTTTACAGTAAAAAAGTGTAGATAAAGTATACCATATTGTTAAGTTTGAATGTCTTCAGTCATGAAAAGTAAAGAAAAAACGTAACATTATTATTTATATTATTTACAGTCTGACTAATATCTTCATCATCTATCTAAATTTCTAAGATGAGTTATTGTAATTATTCAGACTATTGTCCTAATCTTTATTGTCCCTAAGGACACATGGCCCAAAACATTGGTTGAAGTATTTCAGTAACTTGACAAAAAAAGTTATGAGTTCAATACTTGGCCACAGCAGAAATGAACAAATTTTAGAAATTGCAAATTAACAATCTATCCCCATGGTCAAAATAAAGGGTGTGGTTCAAAATTCCAACGTATATCACCTGAAGAAGGCTGAATTTCATGGTTTTCATATTTGAAATTTCTGATGACTCTTAATTCTTCAGTTAATGATTAAATAAGCTTATGGCGAGTTCTATGAGAACAAAGTATTCATAGAAATTCCTCCATAATATTGTTAAATATTTAAGCTTTAACAAAATATTGCAATAACAATCATAAATATGAATGCTTGTCATTATTTTAAGAAGTAAGGGGGTACAAATGAAAAGATTTGAATTTGACAATATTTTTCCATTTCACTGAAACAGTCGTTAAACACTTCTATCTTCTCTTCTGTCATTTTTTGATTGAAACTAAATCTCGTCTTTAATCAAAACAGAATAGCCCATTATTTATGAGGTATTGGCAAGATGTAATGGTCATGCAGACTAATAAAGTAGGAACAAGTACAATTATGATATGATGATGTTTCATCTATTTTGTCCACCAGCCTTCTTCAGATCTCTCTCAATTCAGATCACCTTCATAGAATTTCAAAATAAACACTTTATTCAATCAAAAGAGGTAGATTGCTCTCATTTATGTTTAGAGATTTCTTGACTTGCTTAATTGTTCAGTTATTGTGCGTTATGTTTCCACTAACTCTGACTATATCCGTATTACTTGCCTCAAGGATATATGACATTATTTTAGCCAGAGAAAACATTTTATTCCCAATGACAAAATAAAAAATCTTGTTAAATCTGTAGTTGATGTGTGGTGGTGTAATAGATTGTGACTCAGAATGAGAAATTGGAGAGTTGAGTTCAAATTCCAACCGAGTTTGTTACATTCACTTATGCATAAATACCTCTGGGAAAGTTATGAATCAATCTACTCGCCTCACCCCCAAGTAAGTAGCAGGACAGACCAGGTCCCATAGCCATGGTTGGCAACCAGTCTAGGAGAAGGAAAAACAAAACAGTTTGGAGAGGGTTTGACACACCCCTACTGCTATGGCTGCAGTACATATGGTGCCCTGCTGACCTTCAGGGGTTACATGAATCGTGATTGTGAAGGCCTTCTATGTAGTACAAGGGAGGCAATCATTCCTACTTTTTTGGCATAGCTAGGGTTTTATGAACCAACAGCAGAAAAACTGTTTGCATTGGTTAAATATTTAGCCCAGTGAACTGTTTCTATTTGGATAATGACAGGTATATCAATAAATTCCAAATTCAAGATCTCATGGTTGATATCCTAAACAAATTTAGATCAAGATTTAAGACAAACAAAACCAATCTAATTAATCAGTTAATCTTGTTTTTTACATCAATTCACTCCCAAGCGAGGTGATAATGTCACTAAGATGCAAGGAGGTACTGGGAGTAAAAGAGAAGTAGAAGGAACCTGAAACTCAATCCTAAACAGGAAACAAGAGATAAACCTCTGCTCCTGTTCAATAGATTGGGGAGGAGTGTGAACTGGATGGTAGGCAAACTTATCTACTTCTATTTCTCCAAAATTCAATATTAAATAAAAAGTAAGAAATATTAATCATCCTATAATATCCACTAACATAACTGGACTAAATAATGGACTTCCCCATTTTGATTGTGAGAAAAAATTTATCAGAAATGCTATTTGAAAGAAAAAAAGAGAAAGCAAGAAAGAAATGCCCTGCCAATACTTCTGACATACTGGACTGTTTTATTTTGATTGCATGAAAAAAAACAGAAAAGGCATATCAGAGATGCTATTTGAAAAAAGAAGGAAAAGAAAGAAATGCTCTACAAATATCCCATACATATTGAACTGTTTTGTTTTGATTGCAAGGAAAGATGGAAAAGGCATAACAGAGATGTTATTTTGATTTCAGTGAGAAAAAGAAAGAAAGAAAAAATTGAAACAGGAAAGCTATGACATTTTCGTGTCTACTCATAGTGAATATGGTAATTCCAGGTCACAGCTAAATATTGACACCTCCTCTTTTTCCCAAAAATGAACCAATTTTTTTCTTTTTTTTCATGGGGGGAAAACTTTCTTTGCTTCCAATAAGTATATTCTGATATATTTAATAAACATGCAGATAAACTCTAAGAGACTGTTTCCAAATCTATAACAGATCTATGTTCTTTTGTCCAAGGAGCTTCCCAGGCCAAATTTCAGTTTCCAGAGAAACTAAAATGGACAGGTGTTTCAATATTAAGAAAATAAAACTTACATCTTTCAGCTTTCAAGGAACTAAGGGGAGTAATCACGCCTTCCATAAGCTGTTTGTTTCTCTGTAAAAGAAAAAATATTAAAAATAATTTTAATCTCTGATTTAATTGCATAAACTTTTCAAACATACAAAAACATGATATATGCATAAAAGCACACACACATACATATATATTTACATTACATTGAATACAACAGACAAGGTGTTTTATACAATTTCTCATGTGATCTAATAATTTCTTTTTTTTTTGGATGACAAATTACATGTAAACCGTCTAATTGTTCATTTTATCTGAGCACTTTCAGCTATACATTTAGCCATTTTCGAGGTTGAAATATATTACTGTTAACAAGAAATAGATTGTTGTATATATGTATTTATATAATGTTTTCATTTTTAAAACAAGGTCAAGATATTCAACCTTGAAAATGTTCATTCCTGTTTTACAAAAATAATTAATGGTTTAAATTCTCCAAGCACTTCTGCATATAACTAAAATAAACATTAAGTGGTACAAAAGTGAATTTCTCAAAATTTCACAAATATATATAAGTGGGGGAGGTGGGTAACAAATGTAAAACATTGTTTTTACAAAGATTTTCTAAAAACAAAACAATTGTGAAGTGGTCTGAGATAAATGATTCAAAAGCAATAAGTCATATATCTCTGTTAACAACATTGTTTTTTATATATAAAAAAAAAAACATTTGAAAAGATCTATGCAGTTGGTCATCTGTAAATAATACCATTTAATAAGTCTGTATTGTGTAAAAGCTAAATCCGTCTATTAACTGATAGTGATATAACTCAAAGAACCTTACAGGCTGGACTGCCATTTTTTCTTTTTTAAGCATAAAAGGCTTCTTTTAACCAATTTAGTATGAAAAGTATGCTTGATATGAGAAGCATTTCTGGGTATGCCTCTCTTTGATTCAACAAGTCTTAGTGTTTTTTTTATTTTTCAGTGATGCTTCTTTTGGCTCCTTACTCAACAAAAGAAAGTTATTTTTATTATGCATAACATAGTTACAATACCTCATCTCAAAAATATAGACAGATCCTGAAGAAGGCTAGAGTATACAACAGCTGAAACATCATGAATATGACAATAAAAATGAGGACAACAGTCTGAATGATGTAAATAGTGTAAATAGGTAGAAAAACCCATCTCAGAACTATATACAGATCCTGAAGAAGGTTGGAGTGTACAACGGCTGAAATGTCATGAATGTAATAATAAAGATGAGAAAAACAGTCTGAATAGTGTAAATAGTTAGAATACCCCATGTCAGAAATATAGACGTAAACTGTTTTTGTCAAGACAAAAAAATACAACAATTAAATATCTGTTGAATTATCATCATTTCGTCTTTCACACAGAATTCATTTCTTATCAAAGAAGACATTGACAGCTGGATTATTACTGCCCAACTGACCCTTAAATATCACTGCTGAATATACTGGTCTTCTAATGACACTAGAATTAAATATATGTAAGTGATTAAATTAAAATTACAAATAAAAATTGTGATAAAATATCAAACATTGATAATATAAGTCTGGATAAATCATTAGTTGAATATGGTTAGATTTTCCTCAAGATATTCCTGTCCAAATTATATAAATGGATGATATGTTATGAAATGGAGAAGAGAAAGAGAAAGGCAGGAGGAGGCAACTTCTTTGACAGTGAAGAAACTACCTTTGTTTATAAAGTTATCTTTTGAAAGGTTATTGTCAAGGACAAATACAATTATTAAGTCTGAAAGAACGGTTCTATTGCTACCAAAAAGAAAATCAACTTCCCTGATCAAAACTTATTTTTAACTTTATTTGCTGAATTAGAAAAAAACAAAAATCATTGTGTATCTTATAACATCTTATAGTCAAAAGAGTTGAATGAGCATAACAAGACGACACCTCTACACCAATGTTTGATACACTATTCCTCTGATGAGTTGAGAATGAAAGCTGTATGATTATAAATGATTAAATTTGGATTAGAAATCGAAATGATGCTGAAATATAAAAAATTCTGGTTGAATAGTCAGTGTCAAAAAGATTTAATTTTTTTCTAGATATTCTCACCCAAATTATAGGTTCAGGTTATATGGCAAGAAGATGAAGAAGAGGAGGAAGAAAAGAAAAAGAGGAAGAAGACAAAGAAGAGGAGGAGGAAGCAAAGAAAAAGAGGAGAAAGAAAAGAAAAAGGGGAGGAAGATGAAAAAGAGGAAGAAGACAAAGAAAAAGAGGAGGAAGAAAAGAAAAAGAGGAGGAAGAAAAGAAAAAGAGGAGGAAGAAAAGAAAAAGAGGAGGAAGAAATGAAAAAGAGGAGGAAGAAAAGAAAAAGAGGAGATGAAAAAGAGGAGGAAGATGAAAAAGAGGAGGAGGAAGATGAAAAAGAGGAAGAAGACAAAGAAGAAAAGGAGGAAGAAAAGAAAAATAGGTGGAAGATGAAAAGGAGGAAGAAGCCAAAGAAAAAGAGAAGGAAGAAAAGAAAAAGAGGAGGAAGATGAAAAAGAAGAGGAAGTTGAAAAAGAGGAGGAGGAAGATGAAAAAGAGGAAGAAGACAAAGAAGAAAAGGAGGAAGAAAAGAAAAAGAGGAGGTAGATGAAAAAGAGGAGGAAGATGAAAAAGAAGAAGAGAAGGAAGATGAAAAAGAGGAGGAAGCAAAGAAAAAGAGGAGGAAGATGAAAAAGAGGAAGAAGACAAAGAAGAAGAGGAGGAAGATGAAAAAGAGGAGGAAGAAAAGAAAAAGACAAGGAAGATGAAAAAGAGGAGGAAGCAAAGAAAAAGAGGAAGAAGACAAAGAAGAAGGAAGAAGAACAGAATTGGTTATTTGGTTGTATTTTTAGCAGCATATCAATACCTCTATGGTTTATTTAATGCTAAAATTTAAATATTTTGAACACAATTTTATGCCTTCAGCTACAGATAAAATGTATTATTAGACATTTTTTTTAAAGAAAAAATGTATTCATTGTACTTTTACTATGAAAATGTATTTTTATACTTTAAAAGTGTTTTGCATTTGTTTGGGGGTTTGCCCATAGTTGGGACCATAACAGGCGCTATCACCCCAAAGAGAAGGAGGAGGAAGAAAAGGAGAGAGTTTTTTTACAGTTAAGAAATTGCTTTATTGTTTATAGAGTTGTCTCTTCAAAGATTATCATCAAGAATAAGTACAATTAAACAGGATTTTCTTGAAAATTCCATTATTTTTTAAAAAGTATATATTCATATAATATATACAAATATATTAAAATAAGGGAAAGGAAAAGAAAAAGAAATTTTACTGGCTGTAAAGTGATAAATCAAAATATAAAGCTAACCAGTTACCACTCATCACTCTTCAGAGCTCAATCAAAGACAAAACATAAATATGTGCAATATTACTAAAATCAAGAGAGTTGGGGAGAAAAAAGTACTGAGGTGAGGGTATCAATTTTCAACTAAAACTTTTGTAATAAATTAAATTTCAGAATTTAAATTTGATCTTATAACAAATAATTAGGCATGGTTAACCAAAATCTTTGATCAAATTTCATTGTTTGGTTTGGTTTGTTTTACCAGTATATCAACCCTCATGAGTCATTTAATACTGAAAATCAGATTTTTATTTGATAAGTTTTCTAAATCATGAAGCATAGTTGAAAACTTGTTGTATAGTTCATCTATAAGTGAAGTTGTCTGTGTTAAAGTTTAGTATATAATTTAGTTTTCTACAAGTAGGTCAAAATGTATTTTTTTTTAACATGTTTTTTGAAAAGTACCTTAAAGCTATTCATCTTATAAAAAGGCATTTACAGATAAAGGCAATACAGCACAGTCCATCATAAAATGTTTTATTGTGTATATCTCCTGGCATAGGATGCATTTAGGTGGATCCTCATCTTTTAGAAGGAATGAATGTGTTATGTTGGTATGACTAATTCTAATTCTTGCTAAGACTACTTCTATTCAGGGAAAGAATGGTGTATAGTGTCTTATCCCAAGGGTAGATTTGATTTTGTACAATTTATTATTTATGGGTGAGTATTGTATAAATTTTACCACTTATCTAAGATATATATATATATCAATAAATGTTTTGAAATCTGTGTAAGGGACTTCTGTTTTTTATATGTTTATCAATGTTTAGGACAAAAAGAGTTCTGAGTGCACAATCTAGATAAAGTAGGTTTATGTTACACAAGTCCCCAAAAAAAAAAAAAAAAAAAGATTGACCTGTGCACTAACACATCCAGAAAAGGAAAAAAAACTGCATTGTTCTGCAATTCACAAGTAAACTTTTACACTGCGATTACTTTATTTACCAATCCATGAAAAAGCTAACATTAAGGATTTTCAATACAAACAAGTAACTCCTGCTCATAAAATCTAACAATGTTAGTCATTGGAGAACCCAATGGATTTTCCATAGAAATCCCATCTTCATCTATACCTCATATTGTAAATTCCATGAACATGAAAAAGACAACCTTCAAAACTGGAGAGGGAGAGATAAATAATTCTGATACAATGAATTAGTACATAGTTCAATAGTTCCCTTAACAGAACCCACATAAACAAACTGATTTTTAAAAGAATGCATGAATTTATTAGTATCAAAGTGACAATTTTGTATAAAGTTAGTAAAAAATTAAAAAAAAATCCTTTACCCACCAAACAGAATAAATATCAAGTACTGGTTATAAAAAAATAGCCAACTTCTTGGCCAGTCTGTGCCACACAAAGCTCACTAGTGATAAAGCAGGTCTTAATGAGATTTTATTCTTGTCGGTAAACCATAGAAATAAATGAGCATATGTACATATGTTTAAGAAAAATTAGAGTGATTATTTAACAAACTGCTCTCAGAATTATAACTGTATGACTAGATCAGGTCGCATTTGTTCAGCTTGCTGCGTTCCACAATGAAACCAGCCCTCAACATTTCCTTGGTATTGTGGGGGAGGATACTAGTTAGTTTCCTTGTTGATAAGACCCTAGATTAGGGCTTTTCAACCAGGGAGAAATTTAATCCATTTCATGACAGATGTTCAGGTAAACTACATTCCTTACTGCCACCAGTTCAGACATTCACAGGTAGGAGCTGCCAGGTCAAGTACATTTTGACTCATCCTTATTCTTTCCATATTCCATTAGTAAGGAGGAAGGTCCACTCAGGTATCTTTTTCCACAGAATTATTACTTTGGGAAAAAGACTCCTGTGAGGATACTCTCCCAATCACTACAATCTTAATCTCTTCAAGTGTAGGGCCAACAATTATATATCCTATACATCCTCATAATCTGAACTTACTTCCTCCTCTTATGTTCATACAACTGCATTCAGAAACTATCTACTTTGAGTGACTCTTGGGTCTTCCATTGGTGAACATTTAGTAAAAAAATATTATTATCTAGATATGAAGGGGTACTGAAAAGTTAGCAGCGCAACTGACCTCATGTTTGGCTATTGAAATACTGATTTCAAGAAATAAGCCAGATTGAGAACTTTTCAGCATCCCTTCACACATGCAAACACATATATACAAGTTTCGTAAAATATGACTGACAACGTACTGTGATTAAGTTTTTTATTTAATTTTTTTTGTGTTTGGGTATCTTTTTTTTTTTACATTCAATTAAAAATCAAAATCATCCTTGATAAAAAAATATCTCAGACTTGCAGAACATTTGAATGATTTTTGACTTATTTTATATTCAGAAAAGAAAAAATATACAAACACCATAAAAACTGAATAAAAATTTAATTGCAGTACCTTGTCAGTCATAATTAATTAAACATGCATAAAAGAGGGATTGCTACCCAAATACAATTTATATATATATATATATATATATATATATATATATATGAAGCAATCAGATGTCTAGCCACACTGAGGAGCTAGGATACAGTGAAACAGTCTGTCTGTGGATGACTATATATATCTATATATCTATCTATATATCTATCTATATATATATATATATATATATATATATATAGTGAAGATATCAAATCCATTGGTATATAATCCAAGTGGATCCTAGTAATATAAAATATTAAAACTGATCCACAAAAAGAGTTCAGTGTATTTATTATTACAGAGCAAATAATTAATCAACAATAAAATCCAAAATCACCTCATATAGGAAATAGCTATTTCCCATATGAGGTGATTTGGGATTTAATTTTTTATTAATTATATATATATATATATATATATATATATATGTGTGTGTGTGTGTGTGTGTGTGTGTGTGTGTGTGTGTGTAGATGTGTGTATTTATGTAAGTCTAAATGATAGGTATTTATAGAGAGAGAGAGATTGAGATCTTGCATATTTAACTTGGAACATTTGACATATATCTGTGACCTTTTTGTGGAGTATCAGTCGACTAATGCTCCCTTGTTGTTGAAGTTACTTTCAGCCTCACCATTTCTGTTGTGCCGTCTGGCATCACTGAAAGTGTCTCTAGGATTAGGCAAAAATTTCACTGACCCAGTCAAAGACCATCAGAGCAGAAATAATGGTGTAAGATTCCAAGGAAATCATAGTATTTAGTGGCCAATTATTTGTCATTAGAATCGTGTCAATTTTTCAACAACCAACGTGAGCAACTGAAGTGATGACTCTGCCAAGGAAATAACAGCTTCTCTAGATTTTGTTTATACTGTTACCATCATGAACAATTTTTTTACTAAATGTTCAACTAATACAAGGCCCAAGAGCCACTCAAATTAGAGGGTTACTGACTAAGGTTATTGTATGGATGCAATAGGAAGTAAGAAATGCAGGTTATGTGTCTTGACTTGAAGTAATTAAGATTGTAATGATTAGGAGAGCAAACTCCAAATAGTCTGTCCTACAAAATTTCTGAGGAAGAAAAAACTTTTAGGTGACAAAGCTGTCCGAGTTGAACTTCCTACTTACCAATGGAATACAAAGGTGATGGAGATGATTTAACCATGGCATGGTGAGTTCAAGCCATGAAGGTATGAACTGGTTGAAGTAAATAATGCTGAACATTTGAACATATGAAAATGTACCATTTTATATATTTTTAAATGTTATTTTTAGTGGATATTGGAGCAGATGCTCCATTTATTTATATGGCAATACAGAACCTTGCTTAATCATGACACTCTTCATAGATTAGTTGGTGATAGCACATTTGATCTAACAATGGAGAGAGAGAGAGAAATGGCCTTATCTATGTCTTATATAATCTGACTCAGGATTTTTTAAATCTACAAGTATGTTTTTTTTATATATAGAGAAATCACTTAAAACACGGCCTGAGAGCCACTCAAGGTAGATGATTACAGTTAAAATGATAATGATGAATGAAGTATGTGATATGAATGAATGAGATGAGGACAAGTGACCTTTGACTTGAAGAGGCTAAGCTTGTAGAATCCAGGGTACTCATTTGTATACCTGCTCTACAAATTGACAGCTTTCAGTGGTGGGTGGTGAGAAGATCTTTTTTTTTGCTACTTTTGCAACACAGAGAAAATGGGGCGGTTTTGACTCAATGGAAGTAGCATGGTATTATACTCCATTTTTGATCTGACTTGAACTCTTCTGGCAGATGAATTTCATTCATTTTTTTATGGCTTATCAACTCTTTGCAGGTTGTTTAAAGCCAGGAAATATTTTTAGATTGTAAGTATTTTTTTTTAAGTTAATAATGATTTAGTGATACAAGTTTTATTAATTAACCCATAGCTGGGGAGAAAAGAGGTGGATTCATACCTTTGCCAAGAGTATTTGCACATAAGTGAATATAATGAAACCCCAATGGAAA